ATGCTGTAAAATGTTTTTCTTAACGTCAGTTATGGTCAGAAAAGTTTGAAAAATGCACTTGATCTAATGTAACCCCTTAATTTTTAAGGTAGCAAAACCAAGTATCAGAAACCGGGAGGGGCTCCCTAAAGTCTTCTGGATGAACCGGGACCAAACTCTGCCTAAGCAGGAGGAGGATCACCATGTGGCCTGGGTGGGCTTTGTGTACTGGACAGGGCAGAACTGACTGCTGGGCTGTGGACTCCTGGGACGGTGCTCCTCCCACACCCTCACACGCCCAGGGGCGTGGATCTGATATTTACACTGTGCTTTGGGGCCTCTGCCCACAGCTGGGGACAGGAAGGGTGAACTCTGTCTGGCCTGCTGAACTCTCACCTGACTTCTGCTCAGGCTCTGTGGTTAACATCTCTGTGGCACACCAACAGACTTTCTCTGAAAATCTAAGTTTCTCTGAATCTCTGAGGTGGCAGGATTCTGAGAAACCTGGCAGCGGCCTGGCCACCGCCATGAGAGCACTAGCAGAATTATACACACACACCCAGGAACGGTACCTCCATATTTAACATACAGTGAGTTTGGGTCTTGGTGCTGATGGTGACACCGGCCGGTGGGAACCTTCGGCCATTGCAAGCATGCATCCCACAGACTGCCAGAGCCTGTCCCCCAGGTGCTGAGGCCACCCTGGATCGGCGGGCTGGCGGGAGGGTGCAAGTCTGTGCCTTCGCAATCACCTATCCCCATGATGTTATTGCAAGAATTAATCCAAGTGCTCAGTACCTGGGCACGGTTCCTGGCACTTCACAGACTTGATTCTATTTGCAACACCCCTGGTGAGGTGGACAGTCTTGGCATTCTCCCCATCATGTCACAGATAAGGAAATAGAGGCTCTCAGAGCTCACTTGTCACACTCAAAGAACCCTCTTAATTGGCTGAGAATGGGCTGGAGCCCTGGCATCTTCAAAGGAAGACAAGCAGGACCCAGCACACTGGGGTCTAATGGCACTAAAATCTCCTCTGAATCGGGGTTGATTGGGAGTGATCTGGCCTCCATCTCCCTCCCAGTCTGTTAGAACTGGCTCTGGCTCTTTCCTTAAGGGTAATGTTTGTGGGAATGAGAGCAAAGGGTCACAAACAGGCTTAGGAAAAATCTAGGACAGGCCTAGATTTTGGGTCTCAAAACCTGGGGAAAGTAAGGGGTTTCCCAGCCTCCCAACTCCTGCATTCTGGGGTTCCCAGGGTCATCTACTAACCTCCTCCCCTTCCATGCACTGCTGCTGCGTCTTCACCCACATCCAGTGCTCCAAGCTGTTACTGCTAGAGAAGTGTGGTCCAGCCGTGTCCCTGACCCAGGGGAAAAGGAACTGGACTTTCTGAAGAGTCTATACCATGTCATGTCATCTGAAATTCTCTTTCATTTGTTCACAGAAGCAGCGCATTGAATAAGAAGGCATCGTCTACCTCCCCCACTGAACCCCAAGCTCCCCGAAGACAAGAATCTTGTCTACCTTGTTCACTGCATGTCTCCAGCTCCTAGAACATAGTAAGTGCTCAATAAATATGGGTGAATGAATTGCTAAAGCTCAGGCCCTCTTTTCAAGGAGGGAAATGCAAGTTCTGGACCTGGAGGGCTGCGAAAGATGTATGGCCACAAGATGAGGGGGCTTAGAGAAGAGTCCTGTTAGGGTGTTAGGGAAAGCTACCCATTGCTGCATCACCACCAACCACAAAAATTAATGGCTTAAATCAACAATCATTTTGTTTGCTCACCATTCTGTAATTTGGGAGTGTTCAGCAGGTATGTCTGGTCTCTGCTCCACACTGTCAACTGGGACCAAAGGATCCATTTTCCAAGATGGCTCACTCGGAGTTGGCCACTGGCTGTTGGTTTCACACAAGTGCCTCTGCAGGGCTGAGTGGGTTTTCTTGCAGCGTGATGACTGGATTCTAAGAGTGAGTGTACCAAAGACAGGAAGTAGAAGCTGTCTGTCTTCTTAAGGTCTGGGCCCAGAAACTGTCATTGCATCATATCCTCCATATTTTACTGATTAAAAAGTCACAGAGCCAAGGTTCAAGGGGCTTTTGATGGAAAGAGTGTCAAAAAGTTTTGGGGCACGCCTTAAAACCATCACAGGCGGCTTCCCGGAGGAGAGGCATGAGCAGCTACAGACATTAGAGGTTTGAATAGCACCTGTAAGCTCTTCAGTAGGGCTGGAGCGGCCGTGCACTACAGCATGGCTGAGGCCTCATTCCAGCTACCCTGAAGAAGCCTCCAGTCAAATGGGCATGGTGGACTGCATTCTCCAAATGTGCCCACAGCACTGCCTGTCTCACATGTGCTTCTAGAATGTTGCCCGCTTCAACTACTGGGAACTATTGCTGCTCTCCTTGAAACTGGATGGACTTGTGACCACTTCAGTCAACAGTGTGTGACAGAAGCGATGCTGTGTGACTTCTGAAGCTAGGTCATGAAAGGTGACATGACTTCCACTTGCTGCTCACCCTCTCTCTTCCTCTCTCTCTCTCTCTCTCCAGACACTCACTCTTAGAACTGAGACATCACGCTCCCAGGAAGCCCAGGCCACATGAAGAGGCCACACTGGGTATTCCAGCAGATAGCCCACGATCCTAGCATCAACTGTCAGGCATCTAAGTGAGAATTCAGAGGCTCCCAGCCCCCAGCCTTCGAGTCTTCCATCTGAGGCCCCAGTGACAAACCATCCTCAGGTGTTCTGTCTGCATTCCTGACGCACACAACCCATGGGCATGATAAATGGTTACTTCATGCCAGCTTTTGAGTGATTTGTTGGGTAGCCATAGTAACTGGCACAGTGGGCAAAGTGAAATATAACAATGAGACCTCCGGAAAGCAGTTCCACCGGCGGGAAGAGTCTGGTGGAAACTCACCAGAATGGTCTGGCCCCTGATGCTGGCTTCCACCAGGTAGAAACTGGAGTGCAAGGGAAGGTGTTTTGGACAGAGAAAAGGGCATGTATGAGGCCTTGAGCTGGGAAGGGGCCTAGCAGGAGGAAGGCCACTCAGCTAGAACACAGCCCTGTGGGGACAGGGTGGGTGGTGCAAGGGGCCGCCCTTCATCCTGAGCACGTGGAGGAGGGCCCTGGGTCAGATCTGCTTCCAGGTAAGGAGGGGAGATGGGAAGTCGGAGGAACGCGGCCCAGCGAGTGAGGAGAGGCCGCCGCTGCGGAGGGGCGTGGGCAAGCAGGCCTGACCAGGCTGTGCGACACATGAGGATGGGGGGCTGTGCAGGAACCAGGGGCTCCCGACTGGACGGATGCGGGGCTGGGACGGGAAGCTCAGGCGCCAGGAGGTGGGGATCCCCCTGTTGAGGGACAAGGGGAAGGGACAAAGAGCAGATGCTCTGCTCTTTACAGCATGGCCCTTGCGAGCTGTCCTTCCTCTGGGAAGATCCCCTGGGAGGTGGCATCTACTGCAGTCCCTTTCCCTCTTCAGTTACGCGTTGTGACGGAACTCTTCACGCCTCTGAGACGGGGGACGCAGGAGAGTTCCGCGGCTTCCTCAACAATGGCTGCCATGAGGTCAGGCGTCAGCTGGGGTCCCCCAGCAGGGTACACTTTCTGGCCGGAACTGCTGGGACAGCATCCAGCCTACATGACAGCACATGCCTGGGGGAAATGCACCCTGCTTGGTGGCTGTACGTGCCCCCTCCACCCCGATCTTAGCTCCTGGCAGAGACCTGTAGGGAGTAGAGCGTCCCTGCCTCCCCGCCGGAGGAGTCTGGCCTCCCCGCTGCGCCTGGCTCGCTGGTCTCACCTCGGAGCCTTCCAGGGCCTCTCCAGCCCGAGGACTTCCTGGGCGCTCTCGGGACAGAAATCCTTTCTGGCATTCCTGGCACAGACACGTGTCTCTTCCCCCCTTTCCTGGCAACCTGTGCGTCCCGGCATCGCAGCAGCCTCACACTTGGAGCGTGTCGTGCGGAGCCTGCTGCAGGAACAAGCGGGCCCAGGCTGGACGCGTTCGCCGGGTCCACGCATCCGCCATCTGTTTCTCCGGGGCCCTGCACCTCTCTGTGAGAAGGGTCCTTTCTCGCCACAGATGTGCCTCTCAGGGCAGACATTTCTGGTGACACATACACACCCTCAAGAAGCCAAGAATGTGGCCTGACCGAGGCAAGTTACAAAATAAAAACAAAGCTGTCGGTGGCCCCCTAATGGCGCTGTCGGCCTGAGCAGGGCGCACTTGGAGGAGTCAGAGACTGGAGATTCACTGCACAGCTCTCTGTGGGGACAGAGGACCCACCTTCACCACCTGCAGCCTCTTCCCACACACCCAGCGCCCAGGCTGCAGGGAGCCAGGGACAAAGCCTCTGCCGTAGCCGGGGTTGGGTTGGGGGGTGGGGGGGTGGGGGCGGTGTTAGATGTGTTAGTACTATTCCCCAGAAGCTGGCCTGGAGAGAAGTGTGACAAGCGGCTTGTTCAAATGGGAGGAGCAAATACCGTAGAGGGGTGGGGAAGGGAGTCAGGAGAGGGAAGGCGCTCAGCACCTGGACTCAACCCTGCAGGGAAGCCCCTCTCCCTTGCCACCCTGCACTCACCTCTCCTCAGCCAGTTCAGAGCTTCTCCCAGGAGAGGGGCCCATTTGCAGAGCTGCTTCCTGGGACATGGGAAAATGTCTCAGGCAGGGATGCAGGCAGCACAGGAGGAGCCAGCTGCCCCGAAGTGGTCTTCCCAGGGGATACAGGCAGAGTCCCCATTACACCTGCTGCACGGGGTCCCTGCTCCCGGCAGCCAGCGAGGGATGCCAGTGTGCGGGGCTGTCACTGGTCACCGTCACCAGCATGAGCCACCTGAGAAGGGTGTCAGGCCCTCCAACTTTCCCAAGGCAGAACCTGCGGATAATAAAGTGACTTGGGGGAATGGGTTGTGACGCATGGGCGGGAAAGCCCCTTGCTGGCTGGACCTGGGACAGAGGCCTGCTCGGCACCTTGCCCCGTCCCCTGCCGGGAACAAGTCAAGCTACAGTCTCAGTTTCACATTAGTCTTTTATTGTAACTGTATTGAATGGGATCACTTTGCCAAAAGGGTAAGTCATTTCTTAAATCAGTATGAGTTACAGCATAAAGACGAATGAGAACAAAGCAACAGGATATAAATGGCACAACAGGGTATTCCATAAATCAAATAAATTGTGCCCTCATGAGAGAAATTATTATGACGACTTTTACATCAAAGTGGTCTCCAGCCTGCTTACAGGAACTTTATATTTCTATTTCTTTTTAACACTATAAAAAGAGAGCTTTTGAAAGTAACATAGAGGGTGGGGTGGGGAAGCATTTTGGCCTGTGGGAAGGAAGCCCGGCTTGCCAGGTGCCTTCCTTAATTTATCCCCCGCCTCCTGTCCCCGCCCCCCCACCCCCCAGGGCCCCTGTTCTGTACACACGGGGGCGGGGCCAGGTGTGCACCTGCAGGAGAGGGGGACGGAATGGTGGAATGGCCTGGCCCCCACAGGACAGCCACTCCGAGGGCCTGCGTCTCCTCCCCTGCTCCCTGCTGGCCCCAACACTGGTTCTGTAACAACTCCAGGAGGCAACTTAAGGAAACAACAAAATAAAAACAAAAATAGTAAATTTAAGTCAACTCTGGCAGATTACCTATCATTAGGAGACAACGTAAGTGCCACTGAGTTTTGTATTTGTTCATTGTCTCTGACAAAGTGCGGGAGTCATTCATGTTAGTGGAGGGCAGTCAGCTGCAGAGAAGGCAAAGCACAAGGCTGCCTCGGTGGACTTTTAGCCACACTCGTTCCGCAGTGGTATTCTCACCGGGTTGCAGTTAGCAGTGAGCATTAGCAGGAGATCACCTTTGGAAGAAGAATCCAGTATAATTAAGTGTTTAAAGTGTTGTATGACCCCTTGGCATATACAAAAGGTAAGGCAAAGTCATAATGATTTTCTTTCTCTAATCTGTAACTCTCATATGTAACGTAAAAAGATAAAATTTAACTCAAAGTTCCAAACTGATCAGAGAGGAATGCATGAAACACAGGCACATGTATTAAAAAAGTGGATTGGTAGAACACATCTAAGCTTTACAGATATAAAATGTATTTAACTGCTAATAATCAAAACATGAGAGGGTTCCACTGATTATATTTGTTAAAGAAAAATAAAAAGGTTTCATATGGTCAGGATTTAAAAAAATGTGCAATGTAACAGAAGTACCTGATAAAATAATAAAAAAGGAACACATTCTTTAATAGCACTGTAACTAATAAAAATGCAAACAATGCTTGACTATGAAAAATAAAAACAAGTCACTTAAAAAGATTGAGAGAGTAATACAGCTCTCGAGCCCCACGGATCTATGGGAGGTTGAGGATGGCACTGCCCGCGTCCACTCCCCCTTGAGTCTCTTTCCTCCGAGCAGGGAGCAGCGTGTTTCGAACCACAGAAGCAACAGCCCTGAGGGACCCCATCGTTCTCACGTGGCACTGACACGGAAGCACAGAACGGAGGACCTACCCTTAGTGTGCTGGAGGCCGGGGGTTTCAGTGACTCGCAGACACCTGGCCGACTGCAGGGAGGTAGCCCAGGGCCTCGGGGTGGTGGGTGCCTGGCGGCTCCTGTGTGCCCACTGGTACTGGCCTCCTGTGAGTCTAGCTCTCAGGGGCCACGGAGATGCTCAAAGCGAGCAGATGGCTGTGACCCGCTGCCAGGGGAGAGCCAGCTCCATGGCCCTTTCCAGTCGCTGTCCTGGAGCCCTGGCAAGGATGGCTCTGCGCTTTTTACCTTAGAACTCAAAATACCAACAAGTCCCCAGACTAGGTCCTCTGAGAGAAAATAATGGCAACCCGGCGCAGTTGCAAGGCCGCTCACTGTACAGGGACCTTGGGAGCATAGTCTTCAGGGCGACACATACTTGGCAGTAACTTACTCAGTGAGTCGCCCCCACAGGGGACTGGGCAGACCACTCAGTCAGGAGCCAGGGAGCTCATCAGCGTATCTCTAAGTAGCCACGGAAGGCCAAACAGTCCTGTTATCTGAGCAAAACCAGAGCGGTTACTCGTCTTCCAGGCTCATGCGTTCAGAGGTTCTCCTGCTAGAGTTTAAGAACAAGTGGTAGAGCTACTTAGAACCCTCTCTGTAGTAGCTGACTCTCGAGTCATCACTAGGTTTTCGGGGCACACAGGGGAAATCAGGTCATTATCACTTTCGTCTGTAGAGAAATACATGGTCAGAAGTGGGAAGGATTAGATGGCATTCTTTCAAACTTAGCTTTTCCCTTGTTGGCATGACAGGTCCCGCCGCCCAGAGGCCTCGCCCTCCTCAGAGGAGAGGCCCTAAGGGCCAGTCACGGGGGGCACTGCGCTCTCCTGTCACAACTCCTGCCTGGGCCCAGGAGAGGGGAAGTGTCCTGTGCAGGGACTTCTTAAGACAACAAACAGCTTCCGTGATGCCTTCTGCCCATCACGATTCCGTAAGCCGCCCACTGAAAAGGGGAAAGCCCCACTCCACGCTGAAGCCGGGGAAGGCGCCGGCATGCCGGACCTGGTCCTGCCGTGGCCGTGGGGCCTGGCGCAGTGCACAACCCAACCCAGGCCCTGCAGCAACTACACTTGGCTCCCAGCAAAGGGAGGGCTGTGCAGCAATTCCGCATCCTGATGACATCTGGAATGTTCTGTGGGAAGTCCTGCTCCCCCAGAAGGGACTCCAGGTCTTATTCCCTGTTACTGCTACTTTAAGGCCAATGGGAGATCCTGACTGTGGATGGGAATGAGTTTGGGTTTTTCCCTTTACTTCTCAACTGACAGGTGACAGTGTATTCCACCGTCAAGGTTACAGAAGCTTTACCAGAAAACTATCTGAGAGATGCTTATCCCACAGTCAGGGTCACATTTGCCAATTCAAGGAAGTAATATTCTTACAACTTTTGAAATCAGTGCATCAAAGATTGGCTTAATGTGACCTTGCTTTCTGGTCCTGAAAGATTCTAAGAGGGGAAATACAATTGTGTGAGGAGGGACAGTGATGGCCGGAGTCGATCTGGCCTGAGGTCTGGAAATGTACTCTTTAACAAATGAAAAAAATCTAACTCCCATCACACCAAAATATGATTCGTAAGTTTAGACCCTGTTTCTAAAGATCACTGTAACTTTCTGAGAGGTCAGTGATGGGTTTTTTCCAGCCCTGGAATCCACCAGTTCTAGTCCATTCTGTTGTATTTGGCTCTGCTGTATGGCTCCCCAAAGGAGTAATGAAATAGGCTGAGATATAGATTTCCAGAGAGAAAGCCTTCTTGATATCAATTGATTTTCCTATGACTGGTGCTCTGAGGGAGGGAAGGTTTGAAACCAACTCTTCTTCCTTCTTCTAGTTAAAAATGATGGAGTTGCCACACCTAATTCTTAGTTGGGGAAAAGAGGACGGATGAAAAGTGATTCTAATTGTGGTTTGGTCTCTTTTCTGACAATGAGCTGATACTGGATACTTAACCCAGGTCCACCTCAGAGCAAGGGTGGGGTGGGATGAGGTAAGGGCCGCAAAAGCCCTGAGTTCCGGTGAACATCAGTCTGTGCACTCTGTGGCCCCGTCTGCCTCTCTCTAGAGGGTTCCGATGGGCTGCGTGAGGGCCACAGGCCTGCTGCGAAAGAAGTGTTGGTTTCAGAGGGGTCTCCACTGGGGGAGCCTCAGCCAGACCCTGGGGCTGCTGAGGGGGGTGGCCGGTCCCCACAAGGGAAGCCAGGGGCACTGTGGTCAGATGTCCAGGGGGCTCACAATGGTGAAGCCCGAGTCCTTGCTGTTGCTGCTGCTGTCCTCATCAGGGCTGGAGCCGGGGTTGCTGGAGGAAGCTGAGGCCGGGCCCATCAGTGGGTCAGAGAACACCAGAGGGGAGCGGGCCAGGGGCTCGCTTTTCCCAGAGGTGCTTCGGAGGGTGCGAAGAGGCTGCGCCTGGCCTGAGGAGGACCCCTTGGCACTGCCCATGTCATCGTCTTTGGAGACCAGGATGAAGTCGTCTGCGTTCCCTCTGTCCATGCGCCCTGATGTTTCTGAGGAGGCCTGTGAAGTAGAGGCAGAAGTAGAGGTGGGTTAAGAGAAGAATCCAGGGAAATGAGCTAACCAGCAGCCCTAGGAGCGCCTCATGGAAGCTGAGACCCCTGGCCCGATGCTCTTCCTTGGAAAGATGCCATGTTTGGCCCTGCTTCGCTGAAGTCCAGGTACTTCCCAGTGGCGTGGGGCCTGCCCTCCTGAAGCTGGAACGCTGGGTTCCCAGGGCAATAACATAACCACCTGCTTGATAAGCTAAGAGAGGCCGGCTTGGGAGACAGCCAGCAGGCTGCAGGCAGACTCCCTACCAGCTGCACGTGGCACCCTGCCGTGCACATCACTCATCTTCCTTGGCCTTTAACGGTCTCATCTGCAAAATGAGGATAAGGGTGTGGTCACCATACAATGAGATGATGTGCATGGATGTGAAACGCACAGAACTGGCTCCATAACATACGCCCAGATCTGGAGCGATTTTACTACCTGCTTAAAGAATAGCTTCAGGAGGGCCTAATGTTTGTATCTCATAGCCAGCTCATCTGCGTACGCACTTAGGGACCCCCTGGGACAATGATGGCAAATACAAAAACCAGGAATGGTAAATGTCAAGTATATGGCAAAAGGTAGAAAGACAGAAGTGCTTTACTGATCATTATTTTCCTTTCTTCTTAGGCAATTATGAGTAGCATTTGTTTTTAACTAAAAATACTGACATATATGAACATGAGTAAGGGTTTTCGGTTAAGCCCAGAGAAGCCCCTGCTCATCCTGACACGAGTAAAGCTACAGCCTGGCCAAGGGTGCTGCAAAGCTGGCCAGGCAGAAGACGTGCTGACGTAAGCTGATGTGGTACCCACACCTGCTCGACCACCCACCCTGCCTACTCTCTCGCAGCGTGGGTGGGGGCTGGGGCAGGGGTCTGAGGTCCGACGACATGTACACTTCCCTTGGCTGGAAGTGCCCCCCACCGGATCCTCTGGCCTCCAGACCAGTATGGGCCAGGCCACCTGTGGGCTGTGGGCAGCACCTGGACAGGTAGCTGGCAACACTTCCAAGGGAAGTCTGGGTTTGACTGCCAGTCGTCTCTCTGAACTACATGTTCTTGGTGACATGGGGGTGGTGAGTAGCTAAATAATGACTCAGGTGCCTCCACCCTCTGACCATCTGTCCACCTTTAAGATATTTAATTGGGAGAACAGAAGCAGAATTAGCCTTAAGATCACAGGGCTGAAACAACAGGTGTTGAAGTTCTTCATCTCAAGGTTTAAAGCTGTTTCCATTCTATTAACACATTAATTCTCACAAAACCGAGGAGAAACACAGAGCCTGGCACTCTGGGAGAAGGGGGTGTGATCATAATCTGCACTAAGGGCAGTTTGGGAGAGAAAGACTGTCCACCGTGAGGTGGGCCCAGTCAGGCCGGTGCCACCTTCGGAGAGGCTGGAAGGGACACATGGCTGGGGCTTGTGCTCCCACGCATATGCACATGGGGTGCAGGGCAGGCGGTGCTGTGGGACCTCAACTTCAACCTTCTACCTCCCACGTGCGGACACCATTGTCCTGCACTGTGAACTGTGAAAACCTCGACCTCTCCCCCCACACAGCGTCTGTGGCTGGAATGCTGCTTGGCAGAGCTTAGCTTAGGTTGAAAATAAAAAGAGCATGTAGAGCAGGCCCAGTTTTCAGAGTGACTCCTTCGGCTTATAGTGAATACATTGCAAGACTCTGAGGAGGAGAAATATGTCATAAAACCTGTGATCAGAAGATGAGGTTCCTGCCATTACTAATTATCTGGCACGTTTCCGGGAAAGTGTTGAAGTCCAGTTACACTTACCCTCTGCCACCCATCCCCAGACAAAATTATGGACTGGCTCAGACAAAGCGCGGTAGAGCAGGCAGGCCCTGGCCTCACCTTTATATTACAGATTACAAAAGGAAGCCCATTTCCGAGGCCTGGCGGCTTGGCCACGGTCACAAAGCCAATGAAAAGATCTCACTCTTCTGGACTCCTACCTAGAACTTTTTTCTAAACACAAAGATGCCTTCTTTCTGGATTTCCTTGGCAGCCTTTGTTACTACCTGGTTCTGTTTATGTCATTTACACAATCCTTTTTTTCTTTTTTTTTTTTGCCAAACATAGGTATGTACTGTACAACTGAAGAAGTTTTTCAACATGTCAGTCCTGCCTAAAACTGGCCAAGACCACCACAATATACAGCCTCCGGCCCCCAACCTGTGCTCTCCTCAGCCTGCCTCATTTCTTACCTTGAGTTAAGGAACCTGGTGGGTGCAGGTGAGCCCAGCTATGGACTAGCTGTTCAGGAGAAGTGTTCTCTATGCTAATACAGAGGCACCAAGCCGCATGTGGATACTGAGTACTTAAAAGGCGGCTAACGTGATGGAGGAACTGTATTTTTAACTTAATTTCATTTAATCTTAATGACTTTAAATTTAATTTTATCTAGATGTCTGGCTAGCAGCTACGTATTTAGACAATGCAGCTGTAGACCATACAGATAAAAATAGGGGCCCCAAGTACCAGTGAGGCCCATGATATGGGCTCGTTGACCAATGAATCTAGAGTCCTGCAAAGTCCTGCCTTCTACTGGCATAGAGTTGGGTCAAGTTTACCAAAAAACTTACAAAGGAGTGTGTGGAGGACAGACTGGGAGGGAGGGACCGAATGTGGCTCTTTTCGCTCTACAGAATATAATTTTGCATCTGCCACTTTCAGAGCTGGGGATAAGGTTTGTGAATCGAATGGAAAGAACAGTACTAATGAACATGCCGGTGGGGAGTGAGGCACACACACTTCCATAAAGGAAAAGCCCTACTGAACTTTCTAATGGGGAAGATGTCCCAAGGTGGGTGAGCCTGATTCTCGGCATTGTCTTTTACACATACCTAACTCAGGAATGAGCTGCGGCACAAGCCACCACACACCCAACATGTGTTGATTACGTCTCCAGAAGATGTCTCAAAAGCCTGCCTCGCCCTGTTCCCCCAGCCTCTGCCCCCTCTGTTTAACTGGAAGCTCATCAGCCCCTAACCCTGAGCACCCCTAACGCTTGGCGGAGCAGGCCCTCCGCCCCCACTTGGGAGGCAGAGGAAAAACACCTTCAAACTCCTACCTGGCCCACATGTTCCTATCCAGAGCCAGCCCCCCCCCCCGCCCCCCCCCCCAAAGTAAGTCTGCCAGTTCCAAGCCCTGCAGACCATCCTGAGTTGCTGGGTCAGGACTTCCAGCCTGGTGGTCCCCGTATGAATCTAGTCCAGATCCCCGGCACAAGGCACCAGGCACCAGACTTGGCTTTCTGTGGGACCTGCTGCTTCATCTGGGAATTCTCTTGCCTTTTCTCCCGTGAAGGCGAGAGGAGAGCACTGCTTCCCTATTTCTTCCTTCCTCAGATAAAACCTCTCTCAGGAGCATGGCTTTTTTATAAACTAACAGCCTTAAGGGAGAAGCCGTGGCAGGAATGAGCAAAGAAGAAAAACCCTTCTATTTTCCCTTTTCTACTTTTCTTCTTTTCCACTTAGCCTTACAGAGGAACAGAGATGCGGAGAAGGCAGTGGGGGACTCTCTGGGCGCAGGATGGATTGCCTGTGTTTTAGAAGCACACACAGAGGCCAAAGATCTCTGGCTGTTGCACAGAAGTGTGGCCCGCCAGCACAGGGCACATCTGTTTCGTGTCACACGTACCTCACGTCTGGCTCTCCTAGCACATGCGCATGGGGGTCTGCTAGGGCAGTGGTGGTAACAAGGCAGGTTCTTACATAATGAAAACCAGGAGTAACAATGGCAAAGTACAATCAAGAAGATTTAAATTTAGCAAATTCATTAGTGCTTTTGAAAGGTCTTTTGTGTAATATTTTTACACATCCAAATAAAAAAAAATTATGCTAAATTTTAAAATAACATGGTCAATTAAAAATAGTTGGGGGGATGGGGCGCCTGGGTGGTTTAGTCCGTTAAGCGCCTGACTATGGCTCAGGTCATGATCTCACAGTTCGTGAGTTGCACCCTGTGCTGACAGCTCAGAGCCTGGAGCCTGCTTCAGATTCCGTGTCTCCTTTTCTCTCTGGCCCTCCCCTACTAATGCTCTCTCTCTCTCAAAAATAAACCTTAAAAAAATAAAAAAAAAATAGTTGAGGGTGAACCTAAGCTCAACAGTATTTGAATAAAGAAATGATTATTGGAAAATTAAACATCTGCTTAGGGAAGGAGAATTTGGAGGAATTAATCAAATTAAACTTGCAATGTTAATGCTCTATTTATGTGACTAAAACTGCAGACTAAATGCTCTATGAAAATTTCTTTTCAAAGCTGAATGAAATTAACCACACAAGGTTCTCTTTCCTTGAAAAGTACTCTTAAGGAGCGCCTGGGTGGCTCAGTCAGTTAAGCGTCTGACTTCGGCTCAGGTCATGATCTTGCGGTCCATGGGTTCGAGCCCCGCATCGGGCTCTGTGCTGACAGCTAGCTCAGAGCCTGGAGACTGTTTCAGATTCTGTATCTCCCTCTCTCTCTGACCCTACCCTGTTTGCACTGTCTCTCCCTCTTCTCTCTCTCTCAAAAATAAATAAAACAAAAAAATTTAAAAAAAGAAAAGTACTCTTAAAACTAAAAAAGTTCCCATTCTAAAATATCACTTTGGTCTTTTTTTCATCATAAAAATAACTTATAAGTATCTGGATGCTCGTTTTTGAGAGAGAGCCTTAGATGAGATTTTGCTAATGCTCCTTTTTCATGAGAGACTCTTGAATGCTGAGAACAAACTGAGGGCAGATGGGGTAGGGGGAGGGGAGGGGGGTGATGGGCACGGAGGAGGGCACTTGTGGGGATGAGCACTGGGTGTTATATGGAAACCAACTTGACAGACTAATTTTAAAAAATGAACAATTTGTATAAAAGAAATAATAAAAATAATATATATGAAAATTAAAAAAAAACCAAGATGAAACTTTGAAAGCCATTAAAAAGTGTGTAGTTAGGGGCCGTTGTCCCAGCAGGGACAGCATAGTGAGGAAGCGCAGTGGCGCTGGAAGCCTGGGGCCCGGGACAGGAGGCCCGCAGACACGTGGCCTGCGGAGCCTCTGCTCCCGCGGCCTTCATTTTCTCACTGGTAAAAGAAGCAGGCAGGACTCAGCACAAGAGGAATTCCTTGGATCCTTTCTCGCTGGAAAATTCTATGCTCCTATGTTAGCATAAATTATACACTATGTTGACACCTTGAGAGCAGGGGTCAGCAAACTATGGCCCATAAGCCAGGTCTGGTCTGTGGCCCGTTTTTGTGCAGCTCTCAAGCTGAGAATCGCTTATACGTTTTTAAAGGTTGTACAAAGAAAGAAACACACCTAATACAAAAACAAATGTGTGACATAGACCATATGTGGCCTCCAACTCCTAAAATATTAACTATCTGATCCTTTACAGAAAGAGTTCACTGACCTCTCTCCCTTAGGGGATGGACATTAATGAGAAATCCCCCTCCCTGAAGGCAAAAAAAAAAAAAAAAAAAAAAAGGTTCTAGCCAACTAAAGTACACTCAGGACAGCGTTGGGAAAGAATGAACGGCACTTCCTGTGCTTACGGGGAATGGGAGCATCAGCTAGAGGCAACTAACCAATAGCAGAGACAGAGATCTGGCTTTCTGATGCCACACGATAGGGCTGACAGGAGGTTCAGGCCAAAGCTGCTGCATACAGGTCTGTAGGTTGTACACTGCACAACTCTAGAAGATAACAGTCTAATTATTATCATTGTGAATGGTACCCCATAGGGCACTAGAGTATGCAACTTGCACAGCTATATATAGCGCTTCTGGCTCAGGCCACTCATGGTATTTTATAGTTGAACTTCACACATGGTAATCTGAAGTGACTTTGGCAAAGATTTTAGTATTCCTCACTTTGAAGAACTCATGTGAATGTACCCCCATCAAGCTGATGTGACACTGTTCATCAGAGCTCTTATACCTGCTTGCTGGCCCCAGGCGTTTGGTCGCTCTGGCCTTGGCCTTGGCCCTGGCCCTGGCCACTGGAGCAGTAGTGATCATCTGAGATGGTGATCTGCTCATTCTCCTCAGCTTCCAGCTGACTCTGGTTGAAACGCAGGGAACCTTTCAGAATGTCTTTGATCTATTTTTCAAAAAAGAAGAAAATAAATAAAAAAGATGAATGAGTTTGTTTTGAAATGCTACCTAAACCTCTAATACCTTTAAACTAGACTCATCACGGACCATTTTTTAATAGGATGGAGAGGACTATATTACCACAAGAAAGGAATAAGAGGAGAAAATCCAACTGTAGCAAAGCCATGGCCTTATTAATGACCAAGGAAAATTTCTGAGTCTTAATGGCCAGGTTCTCACAGGGTCAGACCTGGGTGTCACATCCTGGGCAGTTATCTTAGAGCAGGAAGTGCCATGTGCCTACACACTCAGCTCCACTGAACAGCCCTTAGCTACTAAAGTGGCTGCGCACCAGCTGAATTGTTAATAACACAGGCAGACATCTGAGAGCCGCACACTCTTTTCATTAGCGCGTACGTGCCCCTCAGCCCTCCAGGGGTTGGGTGAGTGTGCTCCTTACAGGGCTGAGACCTGCCGTGGGTGGTGATTAGGACTTGTGCTCCCAGGCAGCATGTATTTATGGGGGAACAGCCTTGCGTGCTGCGGGACCACGCGACACCAGCTCTGGGGGAGGAGCAAACTGAATGACTTTGGTAAGAGGAAGAAGCAAGGGTGGGAATGGAAAACTAGCTCGGGCCGCAGGCTGGTCAGACATGATCACTAGCAGGAGCGCGAGGTGTAAAAAGGTGGGGGTTCAGGATGGGCTCTGGGAGGAAACGAGGGGCTGGGGAGACGCTGGCTCTGATACCGTGCATGGCACGCCACAGGATACCCTCCCCAACAAGCACTGAAAGAATGGCCAGCGGGGCACAAAGGTCAATGGACATACCTGTTTTAATCCTGCCAGAGAGACTAGAATTTGATCTTCTTTCTCCAAATTTTCTTGTAATATCACATCTTGAATATTTACTGAAAATAGAAGAATGACATTTTATAACTAATGCCCTGAGTATAACTTATCTGCTGCCACATCATAACTTGCTGGGAAATGTTTCTGTCCAATTTCATAGCAAGTATTTCCACCAAGGACACTCTGCCGAACCGCAGATGAGGCAGGCGTGGGGGAGAGCAGAGGGGAGCACTGAGCCCGGCGAGCACAGCCGTCCCACAACACGACACAAACGCGTTCTTATAGTGACAGATGTGTCTTCGCTTCCACAGAGAGGCTGGGGCACCTCCTGCTAACCTACGATGTGAACAGTCTAGAGCATTCATCCAGCCTCTGGGAGGAAGCATTTCAGTCCGAGCTTCCCACACTGCCTCACGTTCCGTGAGGTTAACTCCCCTCTGTCTCTGAACAGGTCCCCGCAGGTGACTGAAGTTAATAAAGACACCGTCTTTAAAGATTTAAACAGTAAAGCATGTTGTCAACTCAACAAAATGGTAAGAATCAAAGGACAAACTCGTGGCCCGACAGGTTGCCATCAGACATCAATGCCTATGGAGTCTGCCTGACTTCGCCCGGGGTCTTCACAGGAACGGACTTCTCTGCATCCTCTAGGAGGCTCTCCCTCCACGGGAGAAGTCCTTCATCTAGGCCTGCTTTGAGCATCCAGCAAGCCGGCCGTGACCGCCAGGCTCAGCACCGCACTGAGCTGCGTGGCACCAGCAGGCCCAAGAAGCAGTGGGTCTCGGCGCTCCCCCACCACAAGCCGGAGGGATGCACGCAGCCCTGCTGCTGGGGGGGGCCTGCGGAGCTGGGATTCTCAGGAGAGCTCGAAGGAGGAAGAGCGCCCTTCCCCCCACCCCCCGGGGGGCTAGGCAGGAGAATGCGAGGGGTAATAGGGGGCAACTAAAACACGCTTTAAAAAAGATACCAATGAATACACCAATTGGACAATCACGACAGTAAGTAGGCTTACCTTCCATTAACATCTACTTTCTTATTTTGTGGCCTTAAATCACACCTTACAAGCCCCATGCTTAGTCACTCACTCAGTAGAGCTGTCTCAGTCTCCACTGGAGACTCCTCAGCTGCAAGCCCGGCCCCCTACGGCCACCAGAGCTGTGTGTCAATCCCTGCTTGCTTACCCCTGCCCGGCTAGCAGGGGCAGGGCCAGCACATCCATGCAGCCAGCTCCTCCTCCCTGTTCAGCTCTGGTCCCATGATGCCTCTTCGGAGCAGCCTTCCGGCCCGTCGAAGCTAAGAGAGCCCGGGTTCCGCCCCCCGTCACTGCCGCATCTCTTTTCCTATACTTTCACTACATACTTGTCACCATCAGCTTTATCACATGCATTTGTTGGCTTTTTGCTGTCCACCTCCCCCAGTGGAATATACGCCCCAAGGCTGTCTTGTTCAGGGTTATCCCCTCAGCCCTCAGAATGAGGCCTACATTTCAGGTACAGAGTAAGTACTGACTGAACAAACAAACGTGGGAAAACACACTTGGAACATGCATTTCAAAACACTGCTATGCTAAATATTTCCAAAAATATTACCAGTAAGGGAAAAGGCAACGACTGATACCATCAACACGAGCCCAGCCTGACAATTTGTTAGAATCTTCAATAGGAATAAATCTCGAACCCACGCTGACAAGTCCTCTCACACACCGCAGCAGAAAAACAGCAGCTTTTATTTATTCAGAAAACGTGACTGTAGTTTCTGGCTCATATAAAGGCCCGCTTCAAAACAAGAAAGCAAGATGAATGGGAATGGAATAATAGATATAATTAGAGAGTGAATGTTTTTGGTTTCCTTAAAAGCCTGTAACAATTTGTTCTCCCTCAACAGAAAAACAACACAGAAGCCACTCAACAAGACACAAATGACAACCGACTGCAGGGAGCTGACAGGAACCGGTGATGTAGGTCTGTTAGGGGACTGAAGATGGTCACTTTGGTTTTTGTGAATGCCATGGTTTCAAGGCAGAGGTCCGAGGGCTGCCTGGGGCCGCTGGGTTGTCTTGCGGGGGGCGGGAATGGTGAGGTCTGCACCACTGAGCTGTAAGGCGGGGTGGACTTCCCAGCTCCTGCTACATGAACAGGGGCAGCAGGGGAATCACTCGGGGGCACTGAGAGCAAGCTCAGCCAATGCATGCAGGGATATCTGGAAGAAGCATGGGAGGCTTCCTGGAGAGGAGGCCACTGGAGGCCGCATCTAGTGGATCACGGGCCGTGAAAAGAGGAAATGGGTAGAAAGCAGATGTGACACATCCTGCGGCCCAGACTGGATCTTCAGCTCCTGCCTGCCGCTTTGACAGTTGGCTGTGGAACATATCCGGAAGCAAAAGGTTTGGCCAAACTGCCTGGCTCCTGCCTCCAGTGTAACGTGGGGCCCATGGTCAGTAACAACAAGGCCGAACCCCTTTAGGGTCACGGGCTATAGGCTAGCAGGGCAGTCAGTCAGTGGCCCATAACCATGCGAGAACAGGTTTCTCCTCAGAGGCCAGCAAAGACCCAGAGGGCACCCAGAGATCCTTCCTCAAAGGCCAGAGACACGAGAGCCACCCTAGAACACGGACATCATCCTGGCAGGGAGAAGAGACAAAGTAGAGAAACTCTAACTGGGGGCATTTGTTCAGATGAGATGGCTAACTTGTAAAACACCAAGCTGCCTCAACTGGCAGGTGTAAGCCTTGGACTGCCACTGGTGGGAATGGACCTTCAGAGCAGCGAGGTTTTGTACACCTGAGCTTAAATACGTGATTTACCACCCCACTGCAGGGGTAGCAGTGTCCACCTGACATCTCAGAAAATCATACGGCCACGTTGCCTGAAAATCTCAGGAAGGAAGTCATCCCAATGTCCCCTCCAGGATGCCACAAACCCATATATTTGATGGTGATGTTCGCAGGGGAAGGGTGAAGAGGGGAGTGGCGGTGAAGGTGGAAGATATGGCCATAGTGGGAAGATGCAAGATGAGAGGCCCCTTGCTTTTCATTATAGGCCTAGGTGGTAAAGGTGCTCCATGATCTAACGGCCACTTTACTCCACATGCTCTAGCTTGTTTATGAGCACAAACAGCCAGCGAGCCTAGATGCCCACTACGGTGCCGTCTCCTGGGTCTAAGGTGGCAGAGCTGCTGGTGGGCCACGCCAGCTCCACCCTCTACCCCTCCCTCGCCAACACGCCCCAGATCTCATTCAGGGCAGCACCCTGCGCACCTCCCCTCACAGCCAAGGTGGGTCTTGTGACCCACCTCTGGCCCAGTGAGGTGTAAGAGAAGTCCTTGGACGGCGCTTCTGGAAATCTCCTCACTGGGTCTGACTCTATCTGCGGCTTTTGGGCCTTTAGGCTTCCTACTTCCGCTGCCCGAAATGCTGGCAGGAGCTTCACAAGTCATCTTGCAAGGACCGTGGGCAGTGACCCAGAGGGAACCTGGGCACTGGGCGCATCATGGAGCTGCTGTACTTGCTCGGACTGCCCACCTCTAGGCTTCTTTTATTTATGAAAAAAATAGGAATAACCTCCTTGATCTGTTTATTCTACTGCTTTTTGGGACTATGTTATTAGCAGCTGTATTAGTCTCAAGGTACTACAAACTGGCTGGTTTAAAACAACAGAAATTTATTCTTAGTTCTGGGGGCTGTAAGTCCAGGGTCAAGGTGTCAGCAGGGCCATGCCCCCTGAGGTTCTAGGGCACCACTCTTCCTTGCCTCTGGAGGTTGCTGACAGTCCCTGGCATTCCTTGGCTCTGTCTCCATCATTACGTGGCACTGTCTCTGTGTTTGTGTCCAAAACCCCCTCTCCTTTAATAAGGACACCAGTCGCTGGACTAATCAAGTATCACCTCGTCTCCACGTGATTGTATCTGTAAAGACCCTGTTTGCAAAACGGTCACATTCACAAGTTCCAGATGGACACAGAATGAGGAGGAAACACTGTCCGACCCGGTATGGCAGCCAAGCTCTTCACTGTTACACAGGACACAAGCTATCCGGTTCCTCTACTGAAGGGGACTGACACAGCCCCACCAATCCTCTCCTGCTCGCAGACTAGAGCTTCACGTGCCAGGCTGGCTCCGGCCTGCTGTGCCATGAGGCCAGCCACCGGCACGCCCAGGGCAGAGGAAGAGCCCAGGGACTTAGCATCTTCAGCGCCATACCCTGACCAGGATCAAAGATCACCTTTTAGAATCTGATGAAAACCAAAACCTTCTGCCCTGCAAACCCACACATGTATATACTGTTCACTTAATTTTAAGGATAAACCTCTGCTATAGATGACTAAGCTCAGTAGTCTCACTTTTAGGAATCCAGGGTACAGAAATCCAAATTAAAACAAAAGGGCACCTTTGGAGACTATTAAATGTCTTGAATACAGGAATTTGGATTTTACTAACAAAGTACCGGCCATGTCAATCCTTTGCTGCATTAGTTCAACTATACATCGATTTAAGGTAGCATTTATGAGCATTCTACTAATATACAACTTCTCAGGAACAAATCTACTGCTTTCAGTTGCATCTACATGGAAAAATGGAAAAACATAATGACGTTTTCCTGATGCCTTAAAATAGTAAAATTTCCAATGTAATGCATATTCTTCCTTTTAGCAAGAGGCAGAATAAGTGATGAGATAAAGGCTCTTTTTGTTTCTGTATAGAATGAAGATTATGTTCTTTATAATCTCCTTCTATTTAAGTTTTATATAATATAGATGTTGGAGCACTGAAACTAAAGGGGGAAAATCTCACATAACTACTTCTGTGAAGATTACACAAGAATGTCATCAACGTTAACAGCTCCATGGTGAATCTACTGCATCTAAAGAGACGTCAACACCACAAAAGTAGATCTCTGATGGTAACAGTAGTGGAAGTGGCACACAAACTACTTTCTCAATCTCTTAAAAACCGTTTTTCTTCACTGGTAGAATAAAACTGTTTTCATTTGAATGGCTGGGACAAAAGGTAACATAAGCTCATTAAGAAGGGTAGTGGGAGGGGGCACCTGGGTGGCTGAGTT